ATCCTTCTTTGTCAACTACCGTAATTGACGGTGTAGTGCTGAACCGCATTAGAGCTCCGCCCCCATTTTGCTAGCAAAAACAACGTCGTGTGCAGCCGTCGTCGTGCACCTGTCGCGCACCCCTCTTTATATTCCGGACCACATAATCGAGAATCGTTTACTGCTATGCGATTATTGATCGCTTTTCTATTGATCTACCCAGTATTAGGGCATAAGAGTGAGTTTTTGAATTATTTCAAATTATTTTTTAGTTTTCCTCACTTTGTCAACGAATGCGTATTTTTCCCCATAATTCCTGTTTCACATGACATTTATATGCGCCCTTTCACTAAGAACAGGAGTCTCCTTCGCTTTTCCTTGAAGACACATACTATGCTAATTCCACGAAAGAAAGGATTCCCCAGTTTTTTTCTTATTTCTGCTATTTTTTGCTGCAAGAAGTATTTTTCCTACTTTTCCTATTTCACGTCATATTTGTAGCGTATAGTTTGCTGAGAACCCAGTTTATTCAACAAATAACCTTCGCGATCCTTGGCATGTTTATTGCAGTAACTCCCTTCACTTCACCTTATACGCTTTCTTCTCGAGACCTTTGTCACTGCCCATACTGTCAATCTGAAAATAATTCGATCAACCTCAATCAATTCGTGGCACCTGTCCTATGCCATTCGATGTTTTCCCGATTTTTCCAGATACAAAGAAATGCTAGAATAATAAATTCATTGTTTTCTCCGCCTATCTTGCGTTAGCATCGTTGGCTAACTTTAATGTGGTCCTTTTGATCCTGGCTTTTCAGTAATCTTTTTTTTTGATTAAAAACAACCCTGCCGTTCGCAACGTTAAAAAAAATACTTTCTGCTGGAATGCTGGAACTGAAATCCTCATAATTTTTGGTTGTTTTTTAAGCAAAATATGCTCGTCATCTCCATGAAATTGTTTTGTTCGAACTTGGGGTGTGAGTTGGGGACGTCTTTTATGAGATGTTTTGACCATTCCTCCTCTTGCTTTGATGTACTTTCGGAGCAGAGTTCATCAAAATTGTGAAACCGTCAACAGTTCTTGAACGAAGACATTTTCGAAATAGATTTTGTGGCGTCAAGGGTCTTTCCCGAAGTTCATGATCCTTAACTTTAACGGAAATCATTGTCTAAATATAAGTAAGAATGATAAATTGATAAAATCGTAATCAAGTTTCTACTATGAGCCTTCTCCCTCCACGATAGAGCCTCCGCACAACAAAAAATTGATTAAATATACAGAATCCAACAATCTACTATTTCTTTTTCCTTCATGAGAGAATTTGTTTTGGAAGATATTTAGTCTCTTTCGGGAATTGTTGGAAATCAAATCAGGTAGATAAATCTATATCAATCACCGTAAAGTAACTTTGGAAAAGACTACATGCACTCCATATCTGTGAAAATGGACATATGTACTAGGCTCATTGAAAAAATTCACTACTGCGCTTATCAATTTCCAGAACATCTAAACTCTTCGTCTTTTACGGTGTGCCGTTATAGAACACATTTTTTTCTTATAGACCATGAGCTGCCTATCAAAACAGATAAAATTTGACTGTTCTAAGCCAAATTTTATAATTTTAGGGCTATGTGAATCGGAAGGGACGTGTCGGCAATGCGCAGATTCACGGTATTCTTACTACAGATGTAATCAACAGGTACGGTATAATTTTGGACAGGTGCCAAGTTTTTCTACTTTCGCCTTTTCGCATTACCGTACTTTGAACTATTTGCAATTTTTGCAAAATCACTTCGAAATATTTTCTTGTAAAACCTTCACGTAATCTTTTAAAAGTTATACATTTGCATGTTTTTTGCGTGAAAAAAGATTCTTTCCTCACTGTATGAATACGATAGCTAATAGCTGCAAATTTCCAGGAGGACTGTTTCCTCGGCGAAACATGTGACCGGGGCTTTTGCTGCCCCATACCACGGCCCCTTATAGGCCTACAAAGTGAAGGTTAGTTTTGACCATATGCTAGTTCCACTCACCCTGCTTCCGCGGCTTTCTAATCCCTGCTACAAAGCAATTATCAGCTTTTTTCCTCGTCTACGCTTACGTCATCGGCAGATCAATAACCATTTAATAGCCTAATTACCCGAAATCTGCAATTAGACGCACTATAGCACCACGCATAATACCGCAACCTGCTGCACATGATAAACCTACCGCTATGACGGGCAACTCGGACAACAATGTGGACGAGTTATGCCCGGATGGATCCCCGTGGACGAAACGATGTCGGCAAGAGGAAGATTGTGACATGAACAAGGAAGTATGTGCTGAGGGAAAGTGTTGCGCAAGTGAGTCTGCATTTTATAAGTTTTCACTTTTTTGAAGAATATCATAGTATGAAACTGTACCTTACTGTATCTACAGCATCTCAGCATCTCAACGAATAATGCTAGAAATTATTCATGATGTTGTTGGCTCTCACATATCTATCACCCATCAGCTGCATCTCTTCTCACTTTTTTTCATTTCAAGAGTAACAAAATCTTAGTTACAAATGAAGAAAAACAGGGCAAGTGGCCTATTTTTCCTTTTGAATTTTTTTCAACTGTAAAACATCATTAGTTTTTTGAAAGGGATATCTCGTGCCTTTTCTTGGCAAAGTTCAACTTATTCTAGTTCCATTATTTTCATGTCCAAACAAATCCAACA